AAATCTTTCCCTTCCCCTCAAACCAATTCAGATTCGTGTGATTTTGGAGGTAAATGAAACTGTCAAAGGAGCAGGAGGTGGGAAGTACTCAGTTTTGTCTGCCAGTTAGTTAACAAGAGATCATTTTCTCACCTGCTCCCAAACTTCTACTCCACCAGACTGACAACTGGCTCATTCAACAAAGTGGCTGTCTTGCTGTAGGAAAGGCACTTTCAACCCAAGAACTGTTATGTGCAGTCGCCTTTGAATCCAAAGAAAGCCATAGGGGCCTATTTAACAAACACCATCCAGTGCCCTGGTGAGGTGGGAGGGAAAGGGTGTGGGTCACTCAGTGGCCTTGTACCTTTCAGACCCCTTCCCCAGCACCCTCAGTCCTTCTGTTCTGTTCCAAACAAGACTGTGTTCCTCAGCTCTCCGATTTGGGGGTAAATACCAAATCTGGGGAGGGGTAGTTGTGGGTGTTTCCCATTTGGTCTGAGGCTGGGCCGGTGGACAGAGGCAGTTTGGAGCGCGGCGGGACTTGGCCCGGCAGAAGATCCGACATCTCTGCAGTGCCCCGAGGTCGGTTCCCTTTCATGCCCAGGGGAGGGGATTACCCCGGACTGCGGGGCCAGGAGCGCAGAAGGCGCTTTGATTTACGAGCTGAGGCTGAGCCGCCGTCGCCGTCTGCGAGGGTGACTCACCGGGGATGCGGGTGGGAGGCAGATCCGGAAAGGGGCCTCAACCAGGCAACTGGGCTGGGAGCGGGTGTGTGTGTGTTGGGGGGGCGAAGCAGGCTGAGTGTGGCTGGCGAGACGCGGGGAACGCGCCCGGCCAGGGAGTGGGGAGGCTCCAGGGCAGCTGGCCGGCGCGCCGCGCCCGCTCCCCACCCCCCTACCCCCCTACCCCCTGCCCATCAGATTCCGTCGCCGACAGGATCCGCTGCCTCAAGCAGGCATGGGGACAGGTGGCGTTGAGTTACCAAGGCGCCTCCTCTGGGTCGCCCCCGCAAGTCTGCGGAGGGGTGCACACAGGTCGCAGTGCGCGTTTTGTTTTGGTTACCGCGAGGCCGGGTTCGGGCACGGAGCCTCCCTCCTGCCTTGGGCGAGAAACGGGCAGGAGCGGCCCGCGGCGGGCTCTGGAACGAGCCGGGTGATCACCTTCTCCCCGCCGGGCCGGGCTCCCCGGCTCCCAGATTCCTCCCCTGAGCAGAACCTTCGAGCTGCTTTTGGATTCTTTCTCTCCTTTCCCCGCGGGGCTGGCGACACCATCCCTTTCGGCGACCTTCTCTTTACTTTGTCCAACAGTACACACAGACCAGGTGTCTGACTCAGGAGGACGTATAAAAGCGGAGGCAAGCCCGGCATTTTCTACCGGTTGGGAAAAAATACCCGGCAGTCAAAAAGTTCAAACCCGCCAGGGTGGGCGCTCAAAGAGGTGCGGAGTGGATAGCGCCCCCAGTCCTTCCCTGCTGTCCGCCTGGTGCCAACCTGCCCCCAGCCCCAATCACCACACCGGGAGGGAGCCCCGCAGGGTTCGGGGGCCGGGGAAGCCGCCCTCTAGCCCCACCACCCCGGCGGCCCTGAAATTCGATCCGAAGGAGTTCAGAATCAGGTTTCAAAACACCGCAGAGCCGAGCCGCACCAACACCCCACAGTTGCCGCGGCCGCGAAGGGAACCACAGCGGGCAGGGTGAATGATTAACTCTGTCATATAAAAACCTCGACGTTCCCAGACCCCCTTCTGCGCTTCCAGACCCCACCAACTTTCTTCTCCCTCCGGAGCGGCCACGGCCACCTCCAGCGCCTGCCTGGGGCAGCAGAACCCTGGGGGTCCGGGAGCGCGTGCGCGCGCCGGGCCGGCGTGACCCCATGGAGGTGCAGACCCCGGCGGGCGCTGGCAACCTCCGTGGGCATCGGGCGGCAGCGAGAACTGCCTTTCCGGCGTCTACACACGATCCTTCGCCCGGCCAGAACCGGGGAGAGAGTGGCAACTTCAAAGCCAGAGGGATGGGGGTGGGAAACCGGGCAGCAGTGACCAGCCGAGTGGGGGCGGGGACTGAGACCTAGGCGGACGACCAGAAACTTCTGGGGGGAGGTGGGGGGAGGGTAAGGAGCAAGGTTCCCCCGCCCCTCGCCGCCGCTGCCCCCCCTCCCCCAGCCGGGGAGAGAGGTGGGGGGCGGGGAGAGGTGGGCAGCCGGACCAGGCTGGTGGGGAAGGTAAGCGCCATGTTTGCAAGCACTTGGAGGAAAAGAAAGCTGGGAAGGGGGTTGGGGAGAGGAAGGGGGAGGAGGAGGAAAGTTGGCGCTCACCTTTTGGACTGGGTCTCAGAGGGGTTCCGATCGCGCTGCCGGCGGTTCTTGAACCAGTTGCTGACCTGGGTGAGGGAGAGGCCGGTGATCTTGGCCAGGTGCCGCTTCTCGGCGGGCGAAGGGTAGCGATTCTGCTTGTAGAGCTCCTTGAGCGCGTTGCGCGACTTCTCCTTGAAACAATACACCGTCTCCTCGCCGTCCCAGATGGTGCGGGGCAGGGGAAATTTCCTGCGCAGCCGGTACTTGTCCACGGCGCCCAGCGGCCGGCCGCGGGCTCGCTCGGCCTCAGTGTAGCGCGCCTTGTACCAGAGCTGCTGCAGCAGCGGGTGGTTGGCCGACTCGAAGCTGTGGCTCTCGAGGATGCTGTAGAGCTCAGGGTAGATGCCCTGGTGGAAGGCCACCAGCGCCCGCGCCTTCAGCAGGCTCTCGTTGCCACGTAGCAGGTCGCTCTGGGGCAGGGACCACAGGAACCGGGCCAGGCGGTCCAGGTTGCCCCCCTGCTGCAGCGCCTCGCACACGCAGGCGACATGGTCGGGCGAGAAGGCCAGTGGGGTCTGCGCGGCGGCCACCACCCCGGCGGCCCTGAAATTCGATCCGAAGGAGTTCAGAATCAGGTTTCAAAACACCGCAGAGCCGAGCCGCACCAACACCCCACAGTTGCCGCGGCCGCGAAGGGAACCACAGCGGGCAGGGTGAATGATTAACTCTGTCATATAAAAACCTCGACGTTCCCAGACCCCCTTCTGCGCTTCCAGACCCCACCAACTTTCTTCTCCCTCCGGAGCGGCCACGGCCACCTCCAGCGCCTGCCTGGGGCAGCAGAACCCTGGGGGTCCGGGAGCGCGTGCGCGCGCCGGGCCGGCGTGACCCCATGGAGGTGCAGACCCCGGCGGGCGCTGGCAACCTCCGTGGGCATCGGGCGGCAGCGAGAACTGCCTTTCCGGCGTCTACACACGATCCTTCGCCCGGCCAGAACCGGGGAGAGAGTGGCAACTTCAAAGCCAGAGGGATGGGGGTGGGAAACCGGGCAGCAGTGACCAGCCGAGTGGGGGCGGGGACTGAGACCTAGGCGGACGACCAGAAACTTCTGGGGGGAGGTGGGGGGAGGGTAAGGAGCAAGGTTCCCCCGCCCCTCGCCGCCGCTGCCCCCCCTCCCCCAGCCGGGGAGAGAGGTGGGGGGCGGGGAGAGGTGGGCAGCCGGACCAGGCTGGTGGGGAAGGTAAGCGCCATGTTTGCAAGCACTTGGAGGAAAAGAAAGCTGGGAAGGGGGTTGGGGAGAGGAAGGGGGAGGAGGAGGAAAGTTGGCGCTCACCTTTTGGACTGGGTCTCAGAGGGGTTCCGATCGCGCTGCCGGCGGTTCTTGAACCAGTTGCTGACCTGGGTGAGGGAGAGGCCGGTGATCTTGGCCAGGTGCCGCTTCTCGGCGGGCGAAGGGTAGCGATTCTGCTTGTAGAGCTCCTTGAGCGCGTTGCGCGACTTCTCCTTGAAACAATACACCGTCTCCTCGCCGTCCCAGATGGTGCGGGGCAGGGGAAATTTCCTGCGCAGCCGGTACTTGTCCACGGCGCCCAGCGGCCGGCCGCGGGCTCGCTCGGCCTCAGTGTAGCGCGCCTTGTACCAGAGCTGCTGCAGCAGCGGGTGGTTGGCCGACTCGAAGCTGTGGCTCTCGAGGATGCTGTAGAGCTCAGGGTAGATGCCCTGGTGGAAGGCCACCAGCGCCCGCGCCTTCAGCAGGCTCTCGTTGCCACGTAGCAGGTCGCTCTGGGGCAGGGACCACAGGAACCGGGCCAGGCGGTCCAGGTTGCCCCCCTGCTGCAGCGCCTCGCACACGCAGGCGACATGGTCGGGCGAGAAGGCCAGTGGGGTCTGCGCGGCGGCGGCGGCGGCGGCCGCGGCGTGGTGGTGCCTGCCCAGAAGTTCCGAGTGGAGTTGTACCTGATCCGCCGCCGCTCCGGCCGCCGCCGCTGCAGCCACTGCCCCTTCCTCTCCGCTCACCCTGGCGGCGGTGGCCGCAGCGTCCCCCGGCTCCAGGGGGAAAGGGGCTGGAGCCGGGGGTCTCAGCCCCGCCGCCGCGCCCCCCGCCACTTCTCGGGGCGCCTCCTGCCCTTCCGAGGCGCTTTGCATCCCATTCTCCTGCTTGATGTCCGCCGCACTTGCAATCTGCCCGGTGGGGGAGGAAGAGGACATTTTTTTGTTGTTTATTTTCCTCCCTCCCTCACTCCCTCTCACTCTTTTCCTCTTTCTTTTCCCCTCTCTTCCTCCTCCTTCTTCGTGTCCCTCCCCCCTCCCCCCCTCCGGAAAGCCCACTCCCTCCCTCCCGGTTTCGGCTGGATCTGGCCGATCAGGTTTCCCCCCGGCCACGCAGTCACCATTAAGATAGCTGCTAGAGCAAAGTAGTGTAAAAGGATAGCTGCTTTCTGCCGTTCCCCCAACGTGACTCCTCCGGTTGCTGCATACTATATGGCACTGGCGGCCCGGCCGGCCCGGCCGCGCCACCTCATTGGCTATTTCACATTCAGAGGGAGGAGGAGACACCGTTTCTATCCCTGTCGATCACCCGCCTCCCACTCCACCCCTTGCCGTTCCCTCTCCCCCTGACCCCCAGGCACCTATACCTGAAGGGAAACACCGACATTCTTTTCAGGCCCTGCTCCTGGGCGGGAACATGCCTAATGTGGCCTGAAAACTGGACAACAGACTCTTTCAAAGAGAGTCCCTACGATTCCAGTGGGAACATTAATTATGTAGCCTTAAGATCCGGATGCGAAACTCTTAACAAAGAGACCACCCTCAGCATCTAGATGACAAAATTTCAGAGGACAATTCAGAAGCTTCCCTGGTGTCTCTCTACTGCCCTTCACCCCCCTTTCAGATGTCTTCATTAAGGATTTTTATTCAAAAGGGTCAAGAATAAAATGGCACTAGGGAATGCTCTAAGGGGGAAGCACTCACAGTAAATTAAAATTCCAAAGGCGGGGGGGAATGCTTGAAAACGGTATAAATAGCCCACTGAGAACACAAAAACAAGAAGCCTTCAAAAAAAATGTGTTTAACCTTAAGTCACTTGGCGGGCTGGCAACCCAACTGAGTTGAACGTGTTACAACTGAACGTACAGAATGTTTTACCATATGTTTATCCTGGGTCGGTAGGGTAGAAGAGATCTAACTTTTAGATTATAATAACAGCATGGAAATTTAAGCCTCTATATGAATATTTTTTAATATAAGTCTATGAACAGTTTTTTGGAGATGATATTCCTGGTAGAAACCACCTCTGTGTGCAGGTGTCTTGGAGGAGATCATTGCGGGATCAGCAGCCATTTCCGCAGCATAAACAGATGGGAGACCGCCCTTTGGTTTGAGGGGAAGTGCCCGTGGGGGTGGAGTCTGCTGCTTTCTGCAGCTGTGCCTCTTTCCTTCATGGTTTGCATGAGGTCTTCACTCAAAAAAGGATGAACCCATCTCTGCTCCTCTGATGACTGTGGGTCAGTTGGGTCTACCTGCCGGTACTCTTTCTCAAAAATCCAACATTTTAATGACATCATCCTAACCTCTACTTCTGGGTGGCTTTGTGTTGTTTCTGCTCCCCAGTTACCCATAAATGCTTACTTCAGCATATTATAAAGCAGCTGTTTAGGTCACCTGCTATCGTGATCAGCTTGATGAGGTTTTCCTTTTTTGAGGACAGGCTGCATTTTTATTGCTGGTCAACGACCAAGGTGTCATTTGAGTTTGAACTTAACTTGCTTTTGTACTACACTAATGAAGCCAGCCAGCAGTGACATCTCTGGTAGATTCAAAATGTATAATTATGGAAAAGACCACACGTTTCTACCCCATTGGAAATATCCAGTTGGGTATTGGACTTCTGGACGATATCTGAGATTCATGACTTCCTTGACTTTTAAAAAATATGCTTTTTATTTTAGAACAATTTTGACTTACAATACAGTCTTAAAAAGAGTACTGGGTTCCCACCTACTCTTTACCTAATTTCCCATAATGTTAACACCTTATATTATAATGATACTTTGTCCAAACAAATTAACATTGGCGCAATACTATTAACTAAACTCCAGACCTCTTTTTGGACTCACCAGTTTTTTCGCTAATATCTGTCTTCTGTTTCTCTATCCAATCCAGAATACCACGTTCCATTTAGTTCCTTGAATTTTTGACGTTTGTTTATCAGAGCAAAGTAGACAGGAGGTAGTGTGGCTTAGTGGAAAGGATGTGGATTTGGGGATCAGCTAGCTAGATGTAGGTTTAATCCTAGCTCTGCCCTTTATTAGCTACTTGACTATAAAAAGTGGACAGGATTGTTGTGAGGATTAAATGAGATAAGATGTGCCAAAAAGCACCTGGCACATAATTAATCTTTGTTAAATGTTTCTTGTCTTCCTCCTGATAGTGCAAAGTAGGAAACTTTTCAATTATATATACCTAATGAAAATCCATTTGGCTATATTATAGGGCTTTCCAAGTTCAGGTCATAGGAGTCTTCTTAAGGTTTATTATCAATCAAATATAGTGCATTGACTTGGAAAACCATGTATTGGGTTTCTGCATGTCTTCTGTATATTTGACTCCAGAGTACCAAGTTCAACAGATTATATAGAAGCAGCAGTGGCCTTTTATGATATCTGTAGCCTGTGGCTACACTGGTATTCTGTAGCTCCAGGAGGAGATTCCTATAGGACCAGAAGTGAAATCCAACACCAGGCTCCAGATTCCTTTAGCTGGCTGAGCCTCAGAGCTCATTCTGGCAGCATTTCAAAGTAGATTGGAAGCCCTTGACTCAAACATGGTCAGCTACATTAGAACAGAACACCAGACTTGAGGGTGTGTGGAGTTAATCTCAGAGTACTTGTTTTGCCAAATGACTTGTGAAATTGATGAATACTTGCTTCTATTTCCTATGTCTGCCATGCTGTGAACATTGAGTCTGCTGTGCTGATATGTAGTCTAAAGCTGTGTTTTGATTTGGGAAAACAGAGTTGAGGTTGGGATTGTGTGAGAGTGAAAACTAAGCTGCTTGTTTCTGTATCTTTTCCTTCCTGCCTGAAGGTAATGATGAGCAATATAGAAATATAGAAATCTTTTGCCATTTTAGTGTAGTGAAGAAAATCTTGTTCAGCACAAAATGTTGCACTTTGCTCGAATATATTTAATGCTGTGGCCATCAAGAATGGAGATTTCCTTTTTTTTTTTTGCGGTACGTGGGCCTCTCACTGTTGTGGCCTCTCCCATTGCGGAGCACAGGCTCCGGACGCGCAGGCTCAGCGGCCATGGCTCACGGGCCCAACCGCTCTGCGGCACGTGGGATCTTCCCAGACCGGGGTACGAACCCGTGTACCCTGCATCGGAGGGCAAATTCTCAACCACTGCGCCACCAGGGAAGTCCAGAGATTTCTTTTTTAAAGGCTGACTTTGGCTGTCTGGAAGATAGTGGGAAGGCTATATATCTGTATCTTGGTCAGTTATTTCTACCACAGAAAGCTTATGTAGTGGTAATATTAAGGAAGTTAGGTTCTAAAGTAGTTTCCCAGGTAGAGGAGGTGTTCCACTGTTTTAGTGACCAATGGTTGATGATATGTAATCAGCATTTCTGAAGGATCATTCATTTGCCAAATATTTATTGAGTCCTGATTAAGTACATGGTATTGCATTACATACTGAAGGATAGAAAGATGAATATATTGGGGTCTCTGACCCTGAGGAGCTTAAAATCTGGTGGGGGAAGTAAGACATATTTGTGAGTAAATACAATACAGGGTATACGAGTGGTCAGGATAAAGAGACTAATTTTGAGAGGTGGAAGGCAATGCGGGGTGGATTTTTAGCTGGGTCTTTAAGGACAAGAATTTTGAGAGTTCAAGGATAGAGTTCATTAGAGGCAGAGGGAACAAAGCATGGAGCCATGAAGGTGTGTGGTTTATTTCTGAATATATTGAGTAATTCAGTGTGTCTGGAGTGTGGGTTTTATGTAGGTGTGTGATGGGAGATTAGCTTAAAAGGCGTGTTGGGTACAAATTATGAGGGACTTCAAATGAAATGCTCATTTTGCTGTGGTGTGGTGGACACGGTGGTCTGTGTATAGTGGCTGTGTTGTACATAATATCATGGCCATATAGTCGACTGGTCCAGGGATGGGCACTGGCCCCAAACCAAAACAGAGTCCTTTTCTAGGATTTTTCAAACTTGCATGAAGAGAAGAATTAAGACTGGTAGAGGGAGTCTTGGAGGTAATGCTTGGGAGTTCTCAGTGACCAAGCTATCTGCCTGTTGAGGATGCTGATGAACAGTAGGTGAGAGGGAGGGTGACCTAGTAAGTCACATGGGTGACAGTGGAGGGAAAAGATCCTGGCAGAGACTAAGTGCCAGGTTCTAGTCTTCTCCCAGGTGTAGCAGCATTTTTGCCTCTTTGAGGTGATATTAATTTCCCCAGGAGCCAGAAACCCCACTTGAACTGGCCTAGGCAAAAAGATGAATTTTTTGGATCATGACACCAAACAATGGGAAGAGCAGAATGCAGCTGGTCAGACTTAAAGGCCCATTCATTGTCCCTTTTCACTTGCCTCTGCCTCTCTCATCAAAGTAGTTTTAGTCTTTCAGAGGGGCTTTCCCCAGGAGGTTGGAAGCATGGCTTCCATTAGTTCCCAGCTCACATCTTCTAGCTTCAAGAGGCTCTGCTACATTTTCCTTGCTGCCAATTTGATAAATTCTAGGGAAGATCTCTGATTGGTCCAGTAAGGGTTGTAGGTCAACCCACACAGGCCTGTGGGGGAGGAGGAGCTGTTTTCCATAAGAAGGGAGGAGGGATGCTATCCATAGTCAAGGGACAAAACAATAAAAGCCTTTAACCTATGGGGAAGGCCCAACCTGGGTCCATGGCCTTGGGGCTGGAAAGGAAGGGCTGCATTTGAGAAACATTGTCCCAGGGAGGTAGAATCTACTCTTAGGAATGCTAGAGGATGAGCAGATCTGGGAAGAGAAATAATGGGCACCACTGGTCCACCGTTGGGATGCAGCTATCTTTAGAAATGTGGGAAACTTTGATAGTTGGGTGGTTTTTACAAGGGCTGAGTTTCCATTTGAGTCAGAAGTCTGGTGCTGTCAGTGGTTTCCTCCTCAAAGCTTTCTGACCTTTCTGTATTAGTGAACTCCACCAGTGGTAATGGTATACTTTTCAGAGTTTCTGTTGTATGTGAGGCATTGTAGTAGGGCCTTTGTATATGCACGTCATGTAATTTAATCATTACAACACCCTGTGAAATGTATTATATGGAGGAAGGAAACTGAGGTAAAGGAGGATAAGAAATTTGGCTCAAAAACAGGTCTGTTTGTTTTAAAAGAAGGACAGGCTCTTCCTAGTACATTGCATGCCTCTTGTCGATACTACTGCTAATAAAACCTATACTCCTCTTAATAATGGCTAACAGTTACTGAGCTCTTACTCTGCGCTAGTTGTATCCTCAGTCCTCTGTGCTAGTTGTGCTGGTGTTATCCTCATCTTATATTTGGGAAAACTGAGGCCCTTGATCATGCAGCTAGTAAGTGAGGAAGCCAGCACTTGAATCCAGCTCTCTTAGTGCCAGGGCCAAATCTATAAGCACTACTTTCTGCTGCCTCTAGCTCCATGAGTAATGCTTATCTGATAGAGTTCCAAGTCAGCTGTTGCTACCGTGCTTCTCTGACAGTAATTTCCAACCTGGGAAAAGGATAGAGTTGGTAGCAATGTTTCCTCCCATAATCTTCAGTACTTTCTTAGCCTTAATCTCAAGGTTTGGGAGAAAGGAACAGCAATTCACTGCACAAACTGGTTGAGGTATCCTGTTCAAAGATACGATTAAAAGTGTGCTGGTGGTGACAAACAATAATGCCAACTTAATGGATGGGTTCTCAATGTAGTTTTAGCTAAAAATTTTATTTGCTCACTGATCATGTTCACTCTTTCACCAGAAGTTTCCTGTTCTGTTAAAATATAAAGATACAAAAAATTGCCTTTATTCTTAGAGAGCTTCACTTTGAGCTTATAATTGGTTTGGATGTGGTCTCTTTCAATAAATAGCAGGATAATGTCTCCAGGTCAGCACAGCGTTTGATATTGCCTATTTTAGTAAATTTACATTTGTTTAGCTTCTGTTAGTGAACACTATTATGATCCAGCAAATGACATGATTTATTTGTTAGGTGAATCCCTGATGTCTGTATACTAATATAAAGCCCTGTACTGCTGTGGCCTGCCTTGGTCTCTTGGTTCTCATATGTGGTATCCAGCTGTTTGTCAGGTTCTCTCCCTCCATGATCCATGGAAATCCCAACTGTATTGCCACATGGGTTACCTGTTGGGTTCACTGTTTTAAAAAAAGTGAGAGTTGGAATGTTCCTCTCTATGTTTTCATTGAAAAGAGAAAAACTGCTGTGAAAAATTAAAATTACTATGAGTGTATACAGCTGGTATTCATTTTATGGGTTAATTTGAAAAGCTTTATATGCCCACTTCTAATGGAGTTTGGGTCAGATTACAATATAGTGCTCAGCATAAAAAAATTTTCACATTACACTACTCTTTGATATTCATTCATTCATTCTTCATTTACTCTACTTATTTAACAAGTATAAACAAATCCTCCTTCAGGAGATGGATAAGATGTGTCCTTTATAGTGGGAGGAATTTATTATCTAATAGAGCTGTTTACAGACTTCACTTTGCAGCCTGGATAAATTTAGTGAATATGACTTACAATTTCCAAAGAGATTCAGGCTCTCAGAGTGTAGAATTGCTGAAATAAAGCATAGATTCCTGTGTAATCACCCCAGTGTTTGGGGAAACCAATATTGCCTTGATTGGGAGGGTGGTAAGAGATATTAGAGCCAGCCGAGACTGTTAAGCATGCCTGACCATCTTGAGGTAAGAAGTTCTCTACAGTTGCCAGATATTATTTATAGAACTATTTTGACATTTAGCGAGAATCTGTAATATTTAGGGTCGGTGCAGAGACTTTCATTCTAAATAACTGTTCCAAACTTCATATCTGCGAATGCATATTATTTTCTGTGATTGCACGACTGTGCAAGTGTAAAGGAGAAGTATAAAACACAGGCTATCAAGTTGTTCAAAAGAAAATACTGGTGTGAATTACTGAATATGTACACCAGGCATAAATCTTTGATACAATGGGAATGTCTCCAGACAAAACAAGATGGAATCTCTGTTCCTAATTGTGACACAGTTCCTTGTAAAATACAGCTAGGTGCATAGAGATGAGGCTTTATGTACAATTTGCCTTTTTAAGAGCCCTCCCCTAAATCTAAGGCTTTGCGCTGCTGGCCTGCGGAAGCTGACACCGAGCCCTAGCTGCAGGACCGGAAAACTTGCTGCCGGAACCTTTGTGCTGAAATGCCTCGCCCCCCGGCCGGTGCTCATTTGCAAAGGACCGTCCCAGCCAAGTGCCTGTTGGTAGGAATCCGCTTGGCCTCGGGTCTGAGGGGGCTTGGAGGTGGCTGTGGCTGCGACTGAAGCAGGCATCCAGGAGAGTCCACAGGAAAGAAGGCGCCATGGACGATCAGGGCTGTCCCCGGTGTAAGACCACCAAATACCGGAACCCTTCGTTGAAGCTGATGGTGAATGTGTGCGGACACACTCTGTGAGTTGGGGGAGAGTGGGATTTATGGGGGGAAGACGCACAGGGTGGGAGCTCTCGAAAGAGCCGGGAGATGCTTGACCTCGGCTCAGGGGAGAAAAGGGCGTCGTTAGTTTCGACCCTGGGGAGGAAAATGGGAAAAGGGAACGTTGTTTCTGTAAACAGACTAGCCGCTAGCCCTGAGCCGCTCTGGCCTGGTTTGGACTGCAGGTTCGCTGATGTGGTAACCAGCAGTTTGTTAGGTTTCACCCTTCTTAGGTGATGAAAACCTCGACTGTATTTCCAGGCTGTGTTGTCAGCAGGGTTCCAGACATCTCGCTGGTTAAAAGCGTGGGGATCGGAGGGTTTCACGCAAAATGTTTTTATTAAAAAGAGCGAAAGTGCTATGAAAATAAAAGTACTGTGTTTATATACTGCTGCTATTTATTGCGTTAATTTGAAACCCCGACGATATGCCCACTGTCCTGATGGAGTTTGGTTAGATTCTCATCTCTAAAAGAGAAAATTTAGATTTTAGGCAGTTAATTTTGGAGATAACAGTAATGGCTGGCATTTATTGAGTGCACATTACATGCCAGGCACTGTTCTGTTTACCATGAATTATCTTATTTCATTCTCACAACAGTCCCAGGAAGTAGGTACTAGTATCATTTCCATTTTACAGGGAAGGAAACAGAGACTGCTCCACGTCTCTTATTTAGTGGGCCCTGCTAGAATTGGAACACAGGATGTCTGACTCTAGAACGCCAATTTTGGGGGGATAGGGGAAGAAGGGAGGTTGAATATTCTGAAGAGTAAGTGCAGGAACTGGTCAGAGTGTTTCTTGCCACGTTTTTATGGTCAAATGTGGTTCAGTAGAGGTGGTTTATATAAAGCACTTTGGGATGTAAGGTGAACATATATTCCTGTAGTTTCTTTGAGGTTTCTTAGAGATAAAAAATGATGGATAATCTACAATGTGGTGGACAAGACCTTTGGGTAAGCATAAATTGCATGGTTAATTGTAGTTATAATGATTATAATGGGATTTAGTAACTTACTGGATTGGTCCCTTTTTCTAATTAATCTTTATTTTCCTTTGCTTCATCCAGCAAAGGAAATACAGTAGAGCTGTGATTGAATGGGTTAAGATTTAGAAATAAGGTGAAAATAATCAAGTAGATTGAAAAAGGGAAACGAGACAAACGCTGTGTAAAGACTATTAGGTTTTTAGAGAGATTTTGCTCAGCTTCTCTTCATTTTCCTGTATCAGATTTGTTACAGTTGGTGCTCAAGGAAAGGGAATTTGCTTTTTTGGAAGGATGCTAACTAAATGTAATTTACTGGTAGAAATTTCTATCTAGTAGTAATTAGCCAATCAGGGAAGATTATGTGATTTTAGTAAAATAAATTGCATTTTTATTAGACAATTATAAAATATTTATTTTTAATTAGAAATTGCTTTTGTCATATCCATAGTCTTTTCTGTTTTTTCATGAGAGTTAAGAATTGTCTAAGTCATTCTCGTATTGCATTGATTTTGGTTTATTTGCTAACCTGTTAGATAAAGACCACGTTTTACAGCCTTTTTTGTTTTTTTTTTGGCGGTACGCGGGCCTCTCACTGTTGTGGCCTCTCCCGTTGCAGAGCACAGGCTCCGGACGCGCAGGCCCAGCGGCCATGGCTCACGGGCCCAGCCGCTCCGCGGCATGTGGGATCTTCCCAGACCGGGGCACGAACCCGCGTCCCCTGCATCGGCAGGCGGACTCTCAACCACTGCGCCACCAGGGAAGCCCAGCCCTTTTTTGACTTGAAATATGAACAAACTGAATAAAAGATTATATGGTATTGGCTAAGAGAACAAACTTCTGATTTTGAATTCTTTGTACTCTTACAGGCTCTGTGGCTTTGGGCAAAGTCCTAACTCCTTTTGCCTCATTTTTCTTCCCTGTACAATAGAGATAATAGCACCATATATATTACAGTGCTTGAGGATTAAACAATATATGTAAACATCATATTTGGAGGTGCTTAACAGAGTTTCTTTCACATAGTATTTGTTCAGTATACATTGGCTATCATATTATTTGTGCATGGTATGGATGTTAAGCAGAAATAAAATTTAAACAGGATCTGTTTGGCCTGCTATGAAAGACTTGCACAACAATGGTTATCTTTAAATAAATTTAAGAGACTATAAAATGTGAAAATATAGTTTTAATTATAATGACCCTTTTGTGATGATTTTCTTAATATGAACTCGTTATCATGTTCTCTCATGGAAGTGGGATTATATATATCCTTACTTTTTTCATAATGTATATCTTGGGTATCTTTTCTAAATTGGTATGTACATGTCTTCCTCTTTAACAGTTGGTTGATAGTCCACTGTTCAGTTATACTATAACTGATTTAACCAAAAGTTTTTTGATGAATCTTTAGATTTCCAGTTTTTCACTGAAGCTTCTTTCTCTCTCTCTCTCTCTGAGCACTTATGCAAGTATATTGTAAGATAAACAGGCAAACGGGGGTAAATGTAAATGCCTAGTAGTAGAATTGTATGTGACTTGTAAATTTTGATGAACATTGCTCAGTTGTTATAAAAACGATTGTATTGATTGTGCTCCCAACAACTATTTATGGTAATTTTTGTTGCCAAACATCTTTGCTCATATTGGGCATTATTATTTTTTAAATCTTGCTCTTCTGATAGGTAATAAAACATTATGGATTTTGATGTGAAATACTTTTGATTTGATAGTATGTTAAATTTGTACAGAATGTATTTCATGGCATTGAACTTAGGCATTTTTATAGTACAGTTGTTAGTCTGAAAGGAGCAGGTATTGTTGTTTAGCATTGCTATTTGCATTAGTTACCTATTGCTGTGTAATGAATTACCCCAAAACTTAGTACCTTAAAACAATAAATATTTATTATCTTACATAGTTTCTGAGGGTCAGGAGTATGAGAGTGGTTCAGCTGAGTGATTCTGGCTCAGTGTCTTTCATGAGGTTTGCTCAAGCTGTTGTCTGGGACTGGAGCATCTGTTTCCAAGGTCACTCATGTGGCTCTTGGTAGCTTCAGTTCCTCCCTGTGGACCCTCCATAGGACTGCTCATGACGTGGCTTTTCCCAGAATTAGTGATGAGAGAGAACCAGAAGCTACAGAGCCTCTCATCATCTAATCAGAAAAGTCACGTTATCATTGCTTCTGCTGTATTTTATTTGTTAGCACTGAACAATCCTGTTACAAGGTGGGAGGGTGTTTATACACAAGAGTGTGAATACCATGAGACAAGGATTACAGGGCCACATGATTTTACTCACTTTATTTTGTGTGTCCTCAAGTAGCAAAGGCATTTTAGGAAGCAAGTGATAAAGTGAGTAGGAATAGTGCTTCACAAAAGATAAGAAGTGTAGGATTATGGAAAGATTATTTAGGAATACTATTTATGAGAGAAAATACAGGAGCAGAAAGGAGAAAAAAGGTGAAACATTATGAAAATACTTTTCTCCATTAACTGCTAGCTATTGAGGAAGTGTGTTCTCTTATGTATCAAATCTATCCAGCAAACACCCAAATGAATTGATTGCATGCACATCCAAAGAAGATTGGATTCTACTTTTGCTTTTTTTTTTTTCCAATTCAATGATGACCTTTGTTTTAATTACAGAGAAGGATAATTTTTTTTCTTTGTTTATCAGGGCCACCTATTTTAAGAAATGGGCCTTTCATAGTATTCTTTCATAGAATTCTGAAGGCATATTGAATTAGATGGAGCCAATTAAATCTAATTCTCATTTAACTGAAGTCTTTTTTTTTTTTTTTTAAGGAAGCTGGGAAAACTTTATTTTTTCTTTGGAATATGGAAACTTTATTTTTTCTTTTTCTATTACTCAACGTAGATGGATAATATTTTTCAGATTGACACAAATTTAAAACTAAAGTCTTTAATAACTTAAGTTTTATCCCAACCATCCTTGGCAACACTTGTCTCTGGAAACTTTACCTATATTTGATTTTACTAAATCTCCTTTCTTCATTTTAAACACACATAAGACACAAAGTAGAATAAAGAAAACACATCTTGATATATGTAAAAATCAATATTTTGCCGTACTTAAGGTTTGTCTTTCTCTCTTCTTTATCTTCTTTTCTCTGTCCCTCTGTCTCTCTCTCATTTACTGATGTTTCTGAGTAGTTTGTTCTAAAGAGTTACCAGTCTGAATTTTTCTGATTGCATCTCTGTGGTATTAATATATTCCTTTGTATTTTCTATAAATTACTAGTAATTTTAGAAGTTTATTAGATTAAAGTTCAATTTATTTATCGTTGGAAAGAATAATTCATAAGTGGTATTAATTCATTTGTTTAACTAATATGCTGGGCTTATACAATACCTTTTTGCGAACTAGGAAACAATGGACAGAAAAATTAGAAAAAGGCACTCATTCTGGGTAGAAGAATTAGAAAAAGGGGACTTTACAGATATATTGTTGTTAATTTCTAATTTAATATTGTTGAAGTAAGAGAATGCACTTCGCTAAATTTCAGTCTTTTAAAATTTTCTGAAAACTTATTTATGGTCCAGCATATGGTCTGTCTTGGTGAGCAATCAATGTAAATTTGAAAAAAATGTGTATTCTGTAGCTGTTGGGTATAGTGTATGTCAATTAGGTCAACTTGGTTGATAGTGTTACTCAGATCTTCTGCATCCATACTAATTTATCTTATCTACTCATTTTATCAATTACTCAAACTGGATTGTGGATTTGTCAGTTTCTCCTTTTAGTTCTGTCATGCTTCATGTATTTTGAAACTCTCTTATTAGGTACATAGATATTCAGAATTGCTATGACCTCTTGATAAATTTATCCTTTTGTCATTATGAAATGCTCCTTTTGGTCTTTTGTAATATGACCTGAAGTTTTTGTCTGATATTACGTCATTCTCTTAATGCTTCCTGTTTGATAGTATACCTTTCTCTGTCCTTTTGCTTTCAACCAATGTGTGTCTTATAT